GATGAGGTTTTCATTTCCAAAGCCAAGTCAACGGGCCTGAATCTGGAAGAGCGTGGCAATTCAGCTATAATGGAGATTTCCCTGATTGTAGCATTTAGCAGCATCCTTCCTTCCTTTATTAGCAATGAAATAGAGTGTTAATGCTTTATTAGTAATTTCACAGAATGTAAAAACTTCATTAGTAATTAAGTACACCTCAAGTAAGGGTCAGCAGGAAGGGCATAAATGATAGAGGACTGCCTTTGGGGTCAGGAAGATCAGAATTCAAATCCTGGCTCTGACACAAACTAGCAACGCAACTCAGAAAGTCACAGTCCCTCAGTGCCCCAGGCCATACTGAGCCTCCATGTTACATTTGAACTTCTTCTATAGAGGAGATTGCCACCAGAAAGACTATCAGGCAGTGGATAGAATGCTTGACTTCAAGGCAGGAAGATGTGGATTTGAATGTGACATTTACTAAATGTGTCAGACCCTGGGCAAATCAATTACCTCTGAACCTCAATTTCCTCATCTGTGAAATCTTGATAATAATAGCACCTGCCTCAGAAGGATTTCTTCAAAGGAGATAGATGTACCTACATGACTTTGAGCAAGACATAACTCCCCCCAGCTTCAGTTGCCCAACCATGAGGGCAACTAGGTGGTGCCGTGCTAGACCTGGAATCAGGAAGACCTGAGTTTAACCTCAGCCATAAATACTTAGTAGCTATGTGACCCTGAACAAGCCATTTAATCTATCCTTGCCTCAGTTTCCTTATCTGTAAAATGGGAATAATAATAGCTTCTACATCTTGGGGATAAAATGAAATTTAGAAGTGAAGCACTGTGAAAACCTTGAATCATTCTCTGTGTTGTTGGTGGTATTATTATTATCTCTGTAAACTGAAGGAGTTGCACTAGTTGGTTTTTTTCCAGCTTTAGTCTAATGCTTCTATAAATGTGAGTTATTGATAAAACTTCAGGTCCAGACCACTCCCCATAAACACCCAGTCCCATTCTCAAAGGATCTGTAATTTCTTATGTGTGAGTTCTTATTCTACCAGAGCAGCTGGAAACCTCTCCATATCTTAGTAAATAATTTTCACAAGTTACTGTGAATGAAAAATTCATCACTTTGCACCCTGCCTGGTGATGAGTTTCTCTTAGTATAGCTAGGCTGATCTTGGACAATAGATAGTCCATCATCAGGCCTGATGTGCAGTCCTTTCCAGCTTATTAGGACCCACCAGAGCTTGAGATATACTGCCATAAACTCTTTGACACTTCCTTGGCAGCATTAAAGAAGAACTTCAGTGGAAATTTAAAAAAAAATAGAATATCTAGTGTATAGACATATAGATAATGCACACATATATGTATATACCCACATGTACTTGTATAGATGTGTGTATGTATACCTACATGCATATGTATGTGTGTATATCTCTGTTCAATCTTGCTTTTAGACTATGGGCCTGGCATTCATTCTAAAGCCACTCAGGAGTGCTCACAACCCAGTTCACACCCAGCTCACATGTAATTTAATAACAATCTTTTTTCACAGCATCCCACATGCAACCCGTCATCCACCCAGTGACCTGAATGGTTCTTAGATGTGACAGGTCAACCCAGGAAAAGGTCGGGCTAAAAGTCTAAACGGAGCGCTGTGGGCAGGTTGACCCTTTAGTGAACCAGAAGGAAGCTCCTGCCCTCCTGACCTTGCGTTTAAGGTAAATCTCTGTAGCCAAAGGAGGGGAAAGCAGTAGGCGGTGGGTATGAGTGTCAATGACTAACTTTAATTAGGGCAAGGACCGAACTGACCTATCCAAACGCCACTGGAGCTTTTGTAATCCCTTCTCTCCTCCTCCTCCCTTCCCCAGAGGCGGAAAAGACTTTCTAAACCAGCCCGAGATCCGCAGCCCCTCAGTGCCCGTCGGGCAGGTTTCCTCTCCACGTTATGATTTGTTTTGTGTTGGGGGGGAGGGTTCGTAGGTGAGGGAAGCTGGGCTGCCCCTGTTGATCCTCAGACTCCCAGGAATAATCTCGTCCTTGCAAAAAAAAAACATTCAAATAACGCTTGTCAAATAACGCCCCCCCCCAGCCACCACCATAAGCACTCAACAAACAGCTTTCTCCTCGTGGTGTTCCCCCCCGCCCCCCGTTTTGTGGAATAGTAACCTTGGACTGCAGGCGAGAAATGGTACAGTTTTTTGTTTTCCGACCATCTAGAAGCCTCAGCAGCGAAGTGATAGTTGGAGCAGTACTTTGATCAGAGTTTCTATCCGGTTGGTAATTTATTGACCACTTTCCAAGATATTTTAAATGTTCCCTTTCACTCTTTTGCAATGCAATTCTTTTTTTGTTGTTGTTGTTGCACGTAGGACTCGATGGCCACTAGAGATAAGGGTGTCCTGTGGTAATTATCAGTGTTTAAGCCAGAGCTATCTCGTTATCTGACGGCCGGTGAACTTGGCTAAGTTGCAGCTCTGCAGAGTTCATTCAGATGTCACGGTCCGGGGCTGAATAGGTCACCGGCGGGTCACCACAGAGGAATGGGAGAGGGCCCCGAGGTCACGCCCCTGCTAACCAGCTCAATTCCCCGGCCTGGAGACACAAGAAGATGGTCAACTCTATTAGCAGCAGTGCAGGCTAACCTGCAAGAGCCTTTAGCTTCTCTTCCAAAGCCTGCCTGCCAGCCTGCCTATGCAGGCGAGGTTCAGGACGAAAAGTGGTGGATTGGGACTGAATTTGTACAACCTTCAGTGCCCAGGAGCCCAAAGCGCTTCGCAGATTTCAAGAAATGTTTAGGAATATAACTAGCCCAGATTATCTTTCTTTGCACTGATGATCTACCGCGTTGGTTACTGTTACCTCCACATTAATCAAGTAAAAGGTAAAACCTGCCCACGGTCCGTTTCCCCACCTAATCTAGTCTCTTGATTCAGAATTTTGCAGGCCAAAAGTACTTTCCTAGGTACTAGGACATAACTGCTGAAAACGTTCTTGATGTGTTAAATGGAGTTGAGGGAAGGCAGAAGCAGCGGAGCGTTTAGAGGTGAATCAGTCCCAGGAGGCCCAGGCGTTGGACTCTACGTAGGGCCAGGGCGCAGACGACCACAGACACAGCAGCTGGCGAGCATTAGTTCAGCATCCAAACGACAAATTTATTTAGGCCAAACGCTTATCATCAAGGGCCGAGAAGCGTTCTCCAGTGTGGTAGTGCCTAGCTAAGGGGTGGTCTCAGAAGAAGAAGGAAATAGTAACCTCGTGGGGTTTGAACAATGGAATAAACAAACTTTTTTAAAAAAAATTTCTTTTTTCTCTTGCCTTTTTTTTTTTGGCATCATTAGACAACTTATTGTCCAAAACAAGCAGAGCTTTTGGCTTTTGCCAGCAAGGGTCCAACACAACCTGGCCTGACTCGGGGATGGAGATGGATGCTTAGAGTATCTCCTGGTCCAGCTTATTCGAGCTGCTGGTGTGGTTGCAAAAAAGCATCCACCTCCCCAGCACTGGCACCTATGGTTTCCCTGGGAACTAGTCTTGCTGCAAGCACTGAGAGCCCCCAACGGCGCGCTCAGTGGAGACGAATTGGACATTTCATCCTCAGGGGCTTGCTAGAGGGACGACCCAGGCAGGCAAAAATCTCTGTGGGTGAGGCGGCCCGTAGGAACAAGAGGGGAAGGCCAAATGCTTCCAGGGACAGATTTCAAGAAGGTGGCTGCCCTTCCTAATCTCTCTTTCCCCCACATTTTTGGATCGATTGAAGGATAGATTTGGATAGATTGAAGGCCATTTTGGAGAGGCTCCCTGGTCCCCGATACCAAACATTTCTTCAGTTGCTGCTCACTTTCCAGGACCCGCACATCCACAGCCTTGGTCGGGTCCAGGCTCAGGTGTATGAATTCAGGCTCCCTGCAGCCCCATTTTAGCCCAGTAGCAACACGGGTTGGTAAATGGAGCCCTGACTGGCTAATCTTGTGGTTAACCCTTGCGGTTCCTCACTAACCCTTGGCTGAGTTAATTTTTTGGCACAGAGCCCTACCTGGGGTTCCAGTGCTTGTTGCAGAGAGAGAAGGAATGATATGTACGACCTTCTTCAAACACAGAAGGCCCGTCTATCCACTCTACTTTATATCCTGGCCATGAACCCACCGAATATCCGCTATTCGCCCTGGAGTTTCTAAGCAAGAAACATGTGGCAACGAGGGAGGGGAACCTGGGTCCCTTAAACCACCTCAGCAAGAAGCTCCTCCCTTTGGGCCCTGCCAGGCAAGGGTGACATTCTCGAATTCCCAACTATAAAGGCTCCAAGATGCCAGAAACAGCTTTCCCAGCTGAAAATACATCCTCTACGAGTTTCTTTTACCCGTCTCTCCTGCTGCCATTAACTTTTGCCAGAACCCGAAAGATTGAAATCTCTGTCCTCTTCCATCCTCCTTCCCCTGTTACCTCCCCCGCTTCCCATGGTCCAGGAGTCATCAAACTCTGCTTACAAACCTAGCAAACCACAGACAAAACATAACAATAAATCCATGAAACAGTAATGATGGTATACAATTTCCACTAAGAGCAAAAGCGTAATTTCTTCACATTCTTTTCTGCCCCTTCCCGGGCAGAAAAAAATGGCTGACTTGTAAGCCTGAGTTCCAAATCACGTTATTGGTGACTGAAAGGGAAAAAACTCCTTGGGCTTTATCTCCTCCTGGGTCAGAGAGAGCAAGTTTCAAGAGCCTCAGGGCTTCTAGTCATACAGAGAGACCTGCAGCTGACCTGGAACCTGGGGCATTTTTTCTTTTACTGCCCAGCCCTCCCTCAAACCTAGTCGCGGGCGTTTGCTGTTGCTCCCAGGCTCTACATCTATTGTCTTGGAAGATCTTAACACCTTATCCTAGGGAGATGGGCGGCTCCTTGGCTCTTCAGGGCAGCCAAAGAGGCGCAGCCAGGGAAGCCACCGCCTCTGTGCAGAACAAACAGTTAAAGATTTTGGGCAGCGCCTTGTGGGGGGAGGAGCCAGGGCCCCAATCCACAATTAAAGATGAACTTTGAGTGAACTAATTTATCTGACCAAGAATAAGCATATAAAGGAGAAGCATATAAAGCCCGCGACGGCGCTCAAACCACGCTGCTTCGCAGACGCAGGTAGAGACACCGCACCGATGGGTTTCTCCGCCCTGCTAGCGAGCGCGTTGTGCACCTTCGTGCTGCCGCTGCTGCTCTTTCTGGCTGCGGTCAAGCTCTGGAACCTGTACTGTTTGAACACCCGGGACCGCAGCTGCAGCCTCCCGTTGCCTCCAGGGACTATGGGGCTGCCCTTCTTCGGAGAGACGCTGCAGATGGTATTGCAGGTAAGGTTCAAACCGGGACACTTGCTCTTCCCTTGGCTCCGCGAGCAGTCAGGCAGGCGCTCTGATAGCCGCCGGCCTTTTCTCTCCCTTCCCGACCCCGTCGGGACTCCCTGCTCAGCGTTGAGGAAGCCTGGTTGACTTCTGTTGCTCAGGGGCCACAGAGCTACCTCGAGATGCTGCCTTTACGGGCGAAGTCGTCCCGGGGTTTACATCGCTTCTCTACTCTTTTTCTTCGCAGCGGAGAAAGTTTTTGGAGATGAAGCGCAGAAAGTACGGCTACATATATAAGACTCATCTCTTCGGGCGGCCCACGGTGCGAGTCATGGGAGCGGACAACGTAAGGCAGATACTTCTGGGGGAGCACCGTCTTGTGTCTGTGCACTGGCCCGCCTCTGTCCGGACCATCCTGGGCTCTGGCTGCCTCTCCAGCCTCCACGATTCTTTGCACAAGAAGCGCAAAAAGGTAAGGCACGATCCCGGCGTGGCCCCCGGGAATCTCCTGTCCTCAGCCCCGGAGGTTCGCACACAGGACACAGGGACCCTGGGGTTGCTTGGCTAGAGTAGAGGGGAAGGTGGTCCCGGGAAGATGGGAAGGGTGGGCTCCGGAGCTGATTGAGCTGCCTTCCGTCCTGCAGTTGATCATGCAGGCATTCAATCGGGAAGCGTTGCAGTGCTACGTGCCGATAATAGCTGAAGAAATAAGAAATACTTTGAGAAGGTGGCTCCAATGCGGCAACCGCGGCCTCCTGGTCTACCCCGAGGTGAAGCGCCTCATGTTCCGAATCGCCATGCGCATCTTGCTGGGCTGCGAGTCGGACAGCGCGACCAGCGGGGACAGCGAGAGAGAATTAGTGGAAGCTTTTGAGGAGATGATCCGTAACCTGTTTTCCCTGCCCATCGATATGCCCTTCAGCGGACTTTACCGGGTAAGGGCCACGCGTGGGCGCCGTGGAGCTGGACAAGGGCCGGCAGAGCAAGGGGCTGTTCCAGTCTCAATGGTGAGTCCGACTGAGTCCCGTTGCCTCTTTCTGCACAGGGCGTGAAGGCGAGGAACCTCATCCACGCGCGCATCGAAGAGAACATTCGTGCCAAGCTGGGAAGACAACGGGAGCCCGAGGCCGGGGCTTGCCGTGTCAAAGACGCTTTGCAGCTGCTTATAGAGCACACGCAGGAGAATGGCGAGAGGCTAGATATGCAGGTGGGTAGCCGCTGGGATACCTAGAGAAGAGCTGGAAAGGGGGTAGACCCAGAGGTCCTTCCCCTCCTCCTCCTCCAGGCAGAGGCACTGCGAACTTTTACTTTACTTTAGCTCAGGCAAAAGGGCTTGCTTATGGCTTTCATAGCTCGGGCTGCATCATTAAAGCCACCATGCTGGGGGGAACCTGTGTATTTGGAGGTGGCAGCCTTGGTTGAAATTGGCCACATTTCAGCCATAATCTACCCCCTAAATCCCCAAGGAACAGCCAGCGAATCAAGCAGAACGTTTTACAGAAGGGAGCAGCCCTCGAGCAAAGACAATTGAATTCAGCCTCAGGGAAGTTTTCCCAGCATTTTTTTTTAAAGGAAAGTTTACCTTTGTAATAGTCCTGGGGAAAGTGATTGCTGCCTTGGGTGATATGAGAAACTCAGCATTTAGAGGTCTCTAATGTTAAAGGTATCTGGATCACAAACCCTGCTTTGGCTGAAAACAATAGGCATCTATCTGTCTTTGGAATTCACGGTTAAAAAAAAAACTTGGGAAACCAGTATAAACATGTGGTTGTAGCCCCGCGAAGTTGACTCCTTCCCTTTTCCCCTGCTCTCCACTAAGTCCAGTTTCCCTCCCCTTCCCGAACCCTCCATTCATCTTAGTTTTTTTCTGTCCGTACTTGCCTAAGATGCTTGTTCTCCTGAATCCTGCCACAGGAACTAAAGCAGTCTTCAACTGAACTTCTCTTTGGAGGGCATGAGACTACATCGAGTGCTGCCACATCTCTGATCACTTATCTAGGACTCCATCACCATGTCCTTCAGAAAGTGAGAGAAGAACTGAAGAGTAAGGTAAGGTGTGTGTTTCTGTCAGTGGCCAATTTCATGCTCTTTTCTCCACTCACCTAATAGACTTAGCATGGGAAAGAGAGCTGACCAGTTTTGCATAAAACGGGGAGACACAGCCTTTCTATTATAGAACTCTGTAAGTGGAGTTTATGTATTGGGAACCTAATGCTTAAACAAAACTGTCACCCAGCTTTGATATATATATATATATATTTTTTTTTTAAAGAAATCACCTTCTTGGGTTTGTAAAATTTTCTTAGTAATATAAAACTTTTATCAAACTCAGGAAGGGGGAATAACATGGCAGTTTTAGCCACCCTAGCATTCATTCCCTGAATTTGAATGGTAAATTGGTATTGTATGTTTCTGCTCCAGCCTCACTTCCTTAGCACATCAGCTGACTGCTGACTTTTCCTTGCACAAGGCTATAAATTACATATATTCATATGTGTATATTTATTACACATATATAGGTTTGATGTGTGGTATACATAAAATATCTATGTATCGCTATAAGATTCCACTTCACCAATGTTCTGTTGATTTTTACTGTATCCTGATTTTAATGGATTAATATTCACCCCTTTATTGCTTTTTGATAGGGTTTACTTTGCAAAAGCAGCCCAGATGAAAAACTGGACATAGACATTTTGGAGCAACTGAAGTATATAGGATGTGTTATTAAGGAAACCCTCAGGCTGAATCCTCCTGTTCCAGGGGGCTTTCGTATTGCCCTCAAGACTTTTGAGTTAAATGTAAGTTGTGTTTTTTTTTCTCTCCCTCCCCATCTGCCCTTAAACCCCCTCATTGAGTTAAATTCTTTTATGATTCAAATGGACCTGAATGTCTGTCTTGTATATCACAACTTGCTTGGAAGAGGCTTATTTTCATAACTTGCCCTAAAATTGAAATGGGCTATCATTTTATTGTTGCTTCATCTTCTTCCACAGGGATACCAGATTCCCAAAGGTTGGAATGTTATCTACAGTATCTGTGATACCCATGATGTTGCAGACATTTTCACCAACAAGGAAGAGTTTAACCCTGACCGATTTCTGTTGCCTTATCCAGAAGATTCTTCCAGATTCAGTTTCATTCCATTTGGAGGGGGGCTCCGCACCTGTGTAGGCAAAGAGTTCGCCAAAGTTCTTCTCAAGATATTTACAGTGGAGCTGGTCAGGCACTGTGATTGGCAACTTTTAAATGGACCTCCTACCATGAAAACTGGTCCCACTGTGTACCCAGTGGACAATCTCCCTACAAAATTTATGCATTTCAAAGGTGAAATTTAGTTAGTGCAAACTCTAGAGAACTTAGGAATTAATTGAAGTAGACATAAAGCTTTTTATAGTGTCCTCTGTTGATTTTAATATTGTATTTAATTTGTAAATATATGTTATATAGTTATTTATAATGCCTTTGATCCTAAATACCATCCTAAATACCAAAAAACCTAAATGTAATTTTAAATACCATGGCTGCATTTTAAGAGTACTAAAATAATGGATTTGTATGATTCCTGACTAAGGTAACTTTCTGAAAGTGGCAGGTTTTTTAATTATTTAAAAATCTTATTGGATAGCTTATCAAGTGAATATTTGTGAGCTTATGTTTTGTGTTCTTGTGTCATTAAACCATATTTCAAAGTGTGTACATGTTTATTTTTGTCATTGTTAAATGTGTTTTCTGTGAAAAATGTGATTCTATGTGTGTGTGAGAGATTGAGAAATAGTAAAAAATAAATAAATAAATTGTATTTTATTCTAGAAACAATTCTGTTGTCCATAATTACTTTTGCAGTAATGGCTCCCCCAAATGGGATTTTTATTACTTCTAAATAAGTACCATTTCAGATTCAGCAGAGAAAGACCAAATTGAAAACTGAAAACCCTTTGAAATTAATTGCTATAACTCATAATCTAAGTAATTTGAGCTAGTGCTGCAATGTTGATTTCACAAGTAGAATAGATAATATTCTCCAGTAAAGCAGATCTGCCAGAAATACATTTTTTTGAAGTTGAGGTTCTAGTCCATTAGAAATCTACATTTCAAGTTAAGAGCAGCCCATTGCATTGGCAATGAATGAGACTAAAAGTCATCACCTTTACTCAGAAATGGTCTGTGGCAATAGCTCTGGGCAAGCTTAATCTTAGGGTTAGATAAGAGGTGAGATTTCAGTTTTTCTTCATTCACAAGAAGGCAAGATGGTCGATTTACAGAACTGACAGATAAAGTTTGTATTTGTCCCAGGCAGTCGGATGCATGCATGACATGACTGATAAAATGGCCCAGTCATGACCCTCTGAACCTTGGCTAACCTTAGCAAAAGTTCTGGTCGGTCACATTTCTAACCCTGGCACATTCATACTTTGTACTGCAGGCCAACTTTAAATCCCAAACAGTGAGACTGATGATATTTGAAATGGCACAGTGTAAATTCACTGAATTTTTTTTTAATCACTTGTATCCCTGGATACCTAAAAAGCCATTTCAGACTTCTTTTTTTCCTCATTCTTTAAAACCATAGGGTTAGGTAATTCTGGAGAAACCCAGTGGCTAAGACACGAATTTTGCTGTAACAAATTGTTCAAATTCTACCTACGTTTTAGAAGTAAGTGGTGTTCTGTACAGAGTTAGGAAATTTTCTGATTTTTACCACCTGGCTACAAATCTGATTACTAAATATGAATGAGAAACTTAAAAAAAGTTTAGTTCTCAGCAGAAGTCATTATTTACCAAGACACATATTTGATATTATTCACTTTGGGGAAATATGACAGTGAGTTCAGCAAAGCCAAGAATTGAAGCAATGATATCTACACATCACATGACAATGGTTTTATGGACCTTCGGTATGGAGCCTGATTTTTCACCAACAACCTTTCTTCTTAAAGAGGCTAGTCCTCATGTATGGATACAAAGGTTATGTCTCTACATGCTAAGTATAGTGGGTTTGTAAAGCAATTTATGCAGATAGTTAAAGTCACAAACATGCTTTATTCCTTCCCAAGATATCCCACGGTTAGGTGTTTTGGGGCCTGAATTTATCCAGAAAATACTTATAGTCCCATGCAATAAACTATGACAGTAAACTGCACCATCTACCTTATGTCTAGTATGAGGTTTTGGTTCTTATTGTATGATATGCTTAACACCGTGCACAACTAGGTGTATATTTAAGTTGTGGTGATTAACCAGGGGTGGGGTGTGTGTGTGTGTGTGTGTGTGTGTGTGTGTGTATGTGTGTGTATGTGTATGTGTGTTGCAGAAGAGATGGGTATATATTGAACATAAAACAGCACATTGGGCATACCTGTACAACGATAGTATGATTGACAGGTATGGGGACCACTGCTCCGCTGTTCGAAAATTCCCAATGTATTTCAGACATTATGTTTTTAGATGTCATGAGACAGAGAAAAGGATGGCGGATTTGGAGTTGAGAACCTGGGATCAAACTCCAGGTCTGCCAATGTGGATAAGACCTTCTCTGGGACTCAGTTTCTCATCTTTCACTGAAGGGGTTGTACTGGATCACCTCTGAAGTCCCTTTTAGCTTTGAGTCTATGAGCATGGTCTTCTGTTCTCATGCTGCATCGAGCCAGGTCTTGGGGGTCTTGTGGCAAAACAACCCTTCCAATCCTTAGAATCTAGGCAGATGTGAAAGCCAGAGTGTGTACAAAGCCTACAAGTACTGCTTTTGGTGCCCTCTGACCTCCCTTTCTGTGCCCCTTTCCTACCCCTCATGCCACTGAATAAAATTTCAAATATCTTTATTTAATTGAAATATTTCTTTTAAAAATCTCTTAATTGAATATGTGTGTGTCATGTTCAGACCCCACCATTCTCTTTCTTCTGGTTACCGAATGGTGTAGATGTGGGATTATTTCTGGATAGGAACTCTTGTCACCTTGTCCCACAAACAACAATAAATTTTAGAGCTCATATTGACCTTAGCAACTCAAGGGCCATTTTCTTCATTCTGTACAGAGACATTTCAATTCAACAAGCAGATCCTCTGTATCTCTACTGCCCTTTGTGTGGTACTCATTTTTAATTCCTCAGAGACAGTTGTGTTCCATGGCTCACAAACATACAACACTGCCTGTCAAATATTAACGGTAAAAAGATGAGCCTCTGCTTCTGGGAGAAGTTTGAAGTCCTTAAAAACTTTTTCAATTTTCTGAAGTCAATCCAGCTAAGTTTTTTCTCCTGTTAAATTTTGGGCCTAACTCATTATCCATTCTGTACTGTTTATGCCAGATTTGTAGTATGTAGCTTTGGACAAAGTCTGTAGTTTATCCATCTAACTACATTTTGCAATGTGAACAGTAGACATTCTTCATCCACTCAATTATTCCTCTGTTGATGGTTAGGCCAAAATTTTTGGAGTGGTTATAGATCCCTCTTGGTAAGGTTTGCAGTGTTTTGGGGCTTCATACAACCAATATGGTGTCATCCTCAAACAGGAGCAGTTAGAGGAAGAATCCACCACATCTTGAAGCAGGTTATTCCACTTTTGGACAGCTCTAATTATTAAGAAGCATAAATTCACCTCTTTACCATTTCCACTCATTGCTCTGATTTGGCCCTCTGGGGCCAAACAGAACCAATCCAATCTTTCTTCTATGTGCAGTCCTCTGAATACTTGAAGATAGCTATCGTGTGCTCCATGAGTCTTATTTTCTGTAGGCTGAACATGCCCATTTCCCTCAACCAATCCTCATATGTCATAGACTCCAGGCCTTTCACCATTTGGGTTACCCTCCTTTGGACACTCTCCAGCTGGTCAAAGTCTTTCTTAAACTGAAGACAACTTCCCATTATCTTCACCTAGTCTCACCTTTGCATTGAAAGCACTAAGATTCAGAGTAGATGGTGATTTAATATGGAGGGTTTTATCAAGGACATCATAGAATTGCTTTACCTTTTCAACCTTTGCTACAGATGTTTGGTGAATAAGTTGCATCATTTTCATGGTGATTTCTTTGAAAGTACTAATTATGAGATCTGCAGTGACAAATGACAAGAAGTCCGAGGAAATTGTATTTCTTGTTGCCTTGGGGCACACAGTAAAACCAATTGTGGTGATTCCTTTTTTGCCTCTCTAAGGAAAATCTGTGAACCATCTTTCCATTTAGCTATGACTTTCTTTTTATTTAATTTATAGCATGAATTCAAGGTTAATATAGTGTAGTTTCTCTAGTAATTGATCTCATTAGTCTTTGAGGGGGAACTCACGTTGAGAGTCTCAATAAATTAAAGTTAACAAACAGTATATATAAAAGCCATGCAGGTCTTTATGTGCTCTGCCCCCTTTTATGCCACTTCTGTCACTACAGAAGTAGAAGGAAGCCATACTTTGTCTTTTTCGTATTTGATGAGTTACCAGTGACTTCATCACCAAGTGTCCAGCATACTGGTGATGGGCTCCCTTGTACTTAGTAAGGCTAGTACTTGGAAATGGGATTCAATTGGATTCTGGGAGTGTACCTGAAATAACTTGTGCTCTGCTGGAAAATCCTTCAAAAATTCACATTGTCTCAAGCCTTAATGATGCAGATGCAGTAATGTAGTAGAGTCTTGAAGGAAAATAGGGATTCCAAGAGGTCAAGGTGAGAAAAAGAACATTCCAGGAATTTGGAGGATGATAAAGTGCAAAGAATGATGGGTTTCGAATAGGAGGAATGTGGACCCAAATTCTGTTCCTGAGCGTGAGAAGTCACTTACCCTCTCTGGGCTCAGTTTCCTCACCTGTAAAATGAAGATGAAGTTCCTAGCTCATGGGGTTGTTCTGAGGCACAGTTGGAATGACGTATGTAAAGCAGTTTAAAGTGTTGTATAAATATCTGCTGTTATTTATATTTCTATATAATACAAACACATATATATATTCTGAGTGGCCACCCAGCTAGTTAATGTCAATGTAGTGCAAATATTTGAGACTATTCCCTTCCTTGACAGCATTGAATTTAATTCATTCTTATCTACAAACCTTCTGTTTTCAAACATTGCATACAACCTCATGTTACCAGGTTATTAGGACAGTGATCCACACCTCCTGCTTTGGGGTTTTTTTTCTGTCCCCAAAAAGGCTTTAATAATCAGATTAATTTGCTTAGAGCAGAGCAGTTCATTAGATTTAATACCAGGGGACTCTCATAATCTTAGAATTACAACTTTTCTTTAAAAAAAAGTTTTAATGATGATTTTTGTTTTATATATCACAATCATTTCCTGATGTATTCTCTCTTCTGTAGGTTGAACTTCGCTTCATAACAAAGAAAAACAGTTCAGCATAACTAACTAAAGAACATAAATAACTAAAGTGACTAAGTCTGACAGAATATGCGACAATCAGCCTGTATAGTCCATTATCTATCTACACACCTATCTCTCTACAAAGAAGAATGAAGTGTGTTTCATCCTTTGTTCTCTATGATGAATACTGGTCATGCCAATTCATCTGAGTTCAGTTACCTTGTAGTGGTTTTACTTATAATAATGTAAAGTAGAGATAATTTCTTCATCTAGGCAGCCCCGTAATGAAATTGGAGGTCCACTCCCTATCCTTATGACTATCTCTGATTCAATTCTTGATCCCTATCCTATTGTAGTCATGTTACATCTCATTTTTCATGATTCTGCT